TTGCGGTCCCGCAAAAGTGTGCACTGGTATTCTTACCCGGTAGTTTTTGTTTGCTTGTTTGTTTTTGTTTTGTGGTCGAATGGGAAATGAAAACTTAATTTAGACGGCCAGTCACGATACAGTACACTAGGCCTACACGCTGCCTGTGCGTACCACTGCCCGCTGTGCCACATTCATACCGCCGCCTTCATCCCACCTCGCGCGTGATACACAATCAGGATTAATGGATAGCGAGGGTCAAAGGTGAAATCGCAGCCAGCTGCCCTTTCTCGTCTCACCGACTCTCTTTGTATTTTTAAGTCTGTGTGTAACTTTGCCCTAGGCTAGATCATATGTCCCCGCGCGCGGCTGTGTGCATCTCTCTGCCTTCCTCTCCGCCCGTGTGAGTGTGTGTCTCCATCATTGGCATCACTTGCGTTCTCTGTGTTACTCTTAACACACTCCACTGCTGCAGTGTAGACTGTGTTCGAACTTCGATGGGTCATCGTGAATGTATTGACTGTCTTGTTGTAATGAAGCGTGCCTAAAGCCGAAGTTACCGTGCTTAAAGGCGTGTAATTTATATAGCAAAAATTCGGTAAGAGCCGTTTAGCGTGGTTAAGCCCGAAACGTGCTTTAAGCCGGCGTGCTTATAGCCGGCACGGACAGTACTGGTGGCACCATTGAGGTGATACATGGCCCTCTTACCAGTCGTGGACGGTTCCAAGTTGCAGATTGCCTATTTATACATGTAAAAGCAACGAATAGCAGGAATCGAGTCCGAACCCAATTACTTTCTACCTATAGAGTCTACATAACAAGAAGGGCCACTCCTCTCTTTGAGCCAATTAAAAAAGTGTCCTCAAAATTCGGTGGCGCCCTCTTCGCAAATGCGCACCCTTTGCGAACAGAGTTACCCTACTTGTGTTAAAAAAATCAAAGTGAAACTAGATCTGACAAGTTTTTGAATAAATAAGAATTCAAATTTCGGAATAACGCTTTTTTACAATGGTTACGCTGACAAAAAACCTCTTCCGGAGAAAGGGGCGACTGTTTTCCTTAGTTTAATTTGACTTTAGAATATGAGGCGAGAGGTCATTAAAAAAAAATTTTAACCCCTAAAACTCTGCACTGAACGAACCCGAACAGCTGATGAACTGCAGTCGATCTGCGCACGCAAGGAGGTGCTATTCCTATTCTTCTTCTGGAGAAACGAAAGAGAGCTTCAAAACAGACTGCAGCGCCATCTGAAGCAAAGAGCGAACTTCCGGCGGACACTTTTTTGGCTGAGTGGACCATCTTGTTATGTACTATCTTTTCTTCTACGTATGTGATTTCTTCAGGAAAGCCCATGATTTCTTCTTGTGGTTCCGACCCCTAGACATAATTACTGGGTTACTTCCGGAGATCTATGGTTGCTTCAGATAAGTCCAACACCTAACCAGTAACCCGTAACTTGGTCGGCTCTGAACAGCTCCAGGATTCAGGATAATTATAATCTCGATTTAGGAACACGACGAGGCACCAACAATTTTTTAATTAAAAAATAAATTCGGCACAAATAATAATATTAATAATAATAATAATAACAATAATAATGATTAATAATAATAATAATAATAATAATAATAATAATAATAACAAAAATAATAATTATACAAAACAAAACAAAGTAACTGATAGTGATAACCGTTGGCTTACATAATAGGAATCGATATTTTTCTTCCACAGCATTAATAGCGAGAATCGGTTCCGGAATTGATTCTTCACCCAGTTCTAAAACTCACCATCTGACAGCTTCAGCTTTCACAACTACATAGCTCAGCACAGAATGAATGTACTACATTATGTAGCCTACATTTGATTTACACTACAATTATGTACAATTATATTATGTACACATACAGTTTCATGGTAGTATTTGGTACACAGGGTTGGGTTGATTTAAATCAAGTTGATTTAAATCAGCTGATTTTTAAAGTTTAAATCAATTTGATTTTTAAAATAAAAATCAGTGATTTAAATCACTTTTTAAAATATTTATTTTTATTCAGTTTTTACACATTTCAACATTCAGAATTCCTTTCCTTGGTTTCATAAAACAGATATAAGGTTTAGTAGACTAATATATTCATGCTTAAAAGTCTGCTTTCCCCCCTTTCACAGTAAAATAATACAGATTCAAATTACTTTTTTTTTCCATAATTGAAATCAGAGCTGGGTTGATTTAAATCAGTTGGGTTTTATTATTTTAATCTACTTGATTTTTAAAATAAAAATCAGTGATTTAAATCACTTTTTAAAAAAATGTATTCAGTTTGTACATATATTTAAACATTCAGAATTCCTTTCCTTGGTTTTATTAAACTTAAACAATATAAGGTTTAGTAGACTAATATAATCATGCTTAAA